CAAAAAACTACAAAGAGAAATGTGACCTTGAATTTCTGCCCAAACTCATGGTGTAGCTCTTAAATCCTACATTAAGGAATTACTCAGAACTGTCTTGGCTCCAACTCTGTAGAAAAAGCATTTCTGCATTCTGATGGCAAGTGTAAAAAGGCAGCAGTAGGAAAAAGGAAGTCTGAGATGAGACCGGACTTGAGTACTAATTCTCTAGTTTTCTGTCACTAACTAGTTGGCCAAATCACTCAGCTCTGAGCTAAAACTTCATGGCCCTAATGATAAAATTGAGTTCCACCATCTCTGGAGCTTCTTCAAACTCTCAAATATTAGGACTATATAAGACAATCATTTCTCTGGAAAGAAATATGAATGACATTTCTTTTTCCCATAAACTTTATGAAAATATCTTCTTAAAGGAGAATATATAGAAGTTTCAGAAATACCTTAAGAAAATCACTTCAAGAGGCCAGAAAAAGTAGAACAATTGCTGTGCATTTGGCTGACCCTGCTTCGATCCCTGGCACTTCATATGGTCCCCAAAGTTCTGTGAGGAGTGATCTCTGTGTACAAAGCCAGGAGTAAGCCTTTGGCACAGCTGGGTGAGGGACAAATCCTCCATCCAAAAAAAGAGAAAAAAAAAGAAGTAAAATCACTTCACCACAAAATTTCAATAGATTTGGAAGTTACTTTCAGAGACATGTACGACATGTACCACTTTACAAATCCTAGTGATCAGGTGAGAAAAACCAAAGTTCAGAAAAGCAGAGAGAATTATTTGAGGTCACTGAAGTGACATTATGTTATTACTACCATCTAGCACAAGCAGGATTTTAGAATTGGCATTAGTAGTAAAAGCCAGCTCATCAGTTCACCGGGAGACAGAAATAAACTCAAATAAGCTGAGCCATAGGATAAGAACTGTACAAAGAAGCAGGTGACTAAGGCAATGATACACAGAAGCAGCTTTTATACCTCGGGCAGGGGCAAAGCTGAAACACTGCAATCTCGCTGATAACAGTCCCCACTTCCCTTAAATATATTACCCATAAAGTCTCTCTAAAATAACAATAATAAACCAAGAATAGCTATTTTATATAGATAAGAGGGAATGTATAGATGAACTCTAATAAAACAAAACCAAAGTTCAGTACTTGGATTGATAACAAAATTTTAAAAGGACAAAACTATCTTGTCAAGCAAATCTAAAAATAATCTAAAATCACTTGTTAGGAATTTTCAGTTTTAAAGAAAGAATGATGCAGAATAACTTTGACCTACTTCCTATAGGGAGTCATGAAATACTGTAACCTCTTAACTAGCATTACTTTTTACAAACACCACTACCTTCAGATTATGTAATTATAGTAATTCATTAGTTTAAAAGTGACAAGTTTGATCATAATGCTCCAAAGGAGGGGGGAGAAGGGAGAGGGAGAGGGAGAGAGATGGGGGGCGGGGGGAATAGAAAATGTCTGCCATAGATAGATAGGCGGGGGGGGGGGGGGGGTAGTAGGAGGGGAAACTGGGGGAATTGGTGGTGGGAAATATACACTGGTAGAAGGATGTGTTAGAACACTTTATGACTGAAACTGGGTCATGACCAGCTTTGTAACTCTGTATTTCAAGGTGATTCAATTTTTAAAAAGTTACAAGTTTGGGCTGGAGCGATAGCACAGCGGGTAGGGCGTTCACCTTACAAGCGGCCAACATGGCCGACCCGAGTTCGATTCCTCCGCCCCTCTCGGAGAGCCCGGCAAGCTACCGAGAGTATTCGATATGCCAGACACAGTAACAACAAAGTCTCCAATGGAGACGTTACTGGGCCCGCTCGAGCAAATCGACGATCAACGGGAGGGCCTTTACCTTTACCTTTACCTTACAAGTTTGGGCTAGGTGGATGACTCAAAAAACTGCAGGGATACTTTATATATTTCAAGATCCATCCTTACTACCTCTTGGTTCCCTGCAGCAAATCCTAAAGGAAATAGCCCCAAACACTCGAGTGAGGTCCAAACCCTCCCAAAATTCACATGTTCGTTTCCATAGCACTGTCCAAGTAAATAGATTAATTTTTGATGCAAATCATTAAAAACTGTAAAGTTGTTTAGGGTTTTAATTCAATCAAGATTCCAACTTTAAGTTCAATTCATCAACAAATGCATTCCAAGTGCTTTCTATACCTGTACTGTGATGTGATGTTGTCTAGCCGAGGACACACACCAGCAAAGTAAGCACACCCTTTCTCCAATCCCCACTACACACATTAATCCTATCTTATAGTTATGGCTTTCATAGCCTTCCCCCACACACTCCCCCCCCCCACTCCTCCACCCCCACACACACATACACTAATTCTCTGGGAGTTGACACAGCCTTTCAAAAATCTTCTAGACTAGAGGTTATAATCTGTTTGGCAGCACCGTATTTCACCTCCACCAGGAATTCTCAGAGATAGCAGTGCCATCTTCTGGTAGAAAAGGCACAACTTGTTCTGTGGAAACCTGAGGGTGACAGAAGTCAAGGACCTAAAGAATAGCAGCCTATTTTTATGACTTTGTAAGCCTTTCTTTTCTAGAACATGTAAAAGCATAACTGAGACATGGAATCTCCACACAGGGATTCTGGTAGTCAAATCAATAATAGGGTAGGGCCTCTGGAAGGACAGGGACTGTAGAAGCCAATAAGATAGCCTTGTCTAGAAATATCTCCTCCTTAAGGCATCCAAGGTAAGCATCAGAGCCTCACTGAATTAAATACTTCCAGGCTTTCCTTTTTCTACAATGCTTTGGACAATATTAATTCACAGAGACAGTATCTGAGTCAGGTAATCAGATTATAACACTCATCCTAAGGAAAAGGTTCAGACCCCTGTGAACATGAACAATGTGACACTGATCCTGCTGAAAGGACACTACTGCTTAGGCATGCGGTCGGACTCTAATCTCTCCCACTCTCCACTCTCCATCCAGTATTTGACCCAGGGGACAGAAATGACGAAAGGGAAGTGATTTTGTTATTGCTTTGAAAGCAATACTAGTGGGATTTCATTGAATCAGAGATTAAACCCTTGTCCTGTAGGTCACTGAAACACATTGCTTCCCTTTAGATAAACTAAGCCTGCCAATCTTCCACTACCCCCCCGCCCCGTGGAACCGATTATTTCTCAATCCTTCCAAAACTCCTGAGTCCCTTCCATAACTTAAACATCAATGCCTTTTACATAACAAAAATAACATTTTCTCTAAATTTAAAAACATAAACCTTTTCAAACTATATCCCTGTCCTCAGAATTCCTTCTACTTCCCCATAGCATACCAGCTAGAAAACAAATAACTGATAGCCTTTTTTTTAATCACCATTAATTTTCTGATGTTCCCATCTGTATTTCATTTTACTAAGGTCATTTGTTACTTTTCCAACAAGCTTTACACCAACTTCCTCTTTAAGTCACTTCTGAAAACCACAAAAGTTTATGTGCTTGTAGCATTTGTAATGATAAGTGTGGGCTCTGATTTTCCCTAACAAATTTGTTACTTCTTCAGTCTGTCTTAAACAGTCAACTGATTTCATTCGTTTGTAAGTCTAGACATTTCACAAATGGGAGAGATATCTCCTATGTTTGAAAAATAACACCGTGCCCAAAAGAAACAACATTTTGTGCAAGCGGTAAGAGTAAGGACTTTGAAGTGCAGATGTCTCCACACTTAAGAGAATTTTCTATCTCCTCTCAGAAAAAGTTCTAAGTGGATTTCAGTGGTACTCCAAATACAGTAAAATTCTTCCTAGTGAGTAGACAATTATCAGACATATCCAACACACTGAGGAGTGGAAAATGTAATACACTTTTTTGTATCTATTATAAGACAGTACATGTGCCTTGCAAATCTAGAGAAACGAGAGAAAGGTTTGAAGACACCTCATATACACTCACCCATTTAAGTGTGACTTAAAGGACACATTTCCCTTCTCAAGTCACATATACATAACTTTTGATGCCCAAATGAACTTAATACTAGCACTTTTCAAATAAAGGTCTGAACAAGTGTAATCCAGACTCCGCATTCCCTTCTTCCTACAATCCGTTCCATTAACATGCTAAAAATAACTATTCCTTTAGATAGCCCAAGAGGGGGGGAAAAAAGGTCCCAGTTGATAGAGATTCCAGATCCTCCCCGCGTCTTCCCCGCCCCCCAGACCCCCAAATCCTAGCTTCTTGAGGAAGAATCACACTGTGATAATCTGGTCCGCAGTTCACTGCAGGCATTTTCCTCCTCAGTCTCCCAGCCACTGGCTTCTCTGTAGCTGTAATTCCTTATTGTAGCCTCTCGGTAGATCTGCTCCACCAGTTTCCAACGGCTCGGTTTTTTTTTTAATCAATAATAATAATAATAGTAATTTTTTTCCTCCTCTGAACGCATCTCTGGCTCCCGGGGCAGGCTCGCTGGTGGATTTCGGTGCAAGTCCGGGCGCGGGCTCGCGTGCAGTCCCCGGGCGCCGCTCCCCGCCGCAGCCGGGCTCGGCCGGCGGGTCGGGTCCCCCACCCCCCGCGCGGCTGCCCGGAGCGTTCGGCTGCGCTCCCCGCGCCGGGGCACTCCTCTCCCTCCCGCTCGGTCACAGTGACACCACACCTTTCGCCCCTCTCTCTCGTGTGTGACAGGTGCCAGGGCGTAAAAGCCATCCTCTGACCGGCCCCCGCCCGGACTCCCTCAGAACCTCCATCCGGGCAGGGGGCCGGTGCCCACACTCCTCCCCGCGAGAGAAACAAAGGCGGAGTCACCGCGGCCAGGTGGGCAACTCCCCCTCGGGCGAGGAGGTCGGAAAGGGAAACCGAGGCACCCGAAGCGGAGGGAGTGACTGAGTCCCAGTCGGCAACCTCCTCCCCGAGCGGGCACCCCGGCGCGGACGATCCGCATCCCCGTCGGCGGCTGGTCCCCAGCTGCCCACCCGGCCCGTCCGCACCCGGCGGCCGGCGGCGAGGAGGAGGGCTGCCCGGCGGCGGCGCCTACCTGAGCAGCTGCGTTCCCGCTTCCTCCGACGGCTCTGGAGAAAGCCCCGCCGCTCGCGCACGCGCGCCTCGCGCCCCCGCGCACTCCCCTCCGACTGGGCTCCGGCCCGCCCCGGCCCTGTCCGTCAGCGTCCGCGCCAGCCAATCCGGTCACACCGGGGGCCCCGTCCCGTGACCAGACCAGCCAATCAGCAAGCTGCCCCTCGGCAGCACCCATTCGGCGGTCCCTGGAGGTTCGGTTGCTACCGGGCGGAGGAGCGGGCGCCAGGTGGGCACAAAGGGCTGAGTCTGGCTTTCGAAGCTGATTGGTTTTCAGTCGATCGAGAACTAGAGCAACTGATGTCTCAAACTAAAGACGAAGAGGGCGGTCGTGCGGGTTTCTTCGGAAAAAGCGGCTTCTGAGGCAGTGAGTCTGCGCTGGGAACCTGAGCTGCTGCCTTTCCCGCACGCTTCAGGTGGTGCCGGTGGTCTGAGGAAATGACGGTTTGGAACTCCGACTCCACGCTACCTGAAAGTTTGGCGACCTGTTCTCCTTCCTCCCTTGATGGAACGCATGTCAGTAACTGCTATGACCCGGAGCTTGCCCCGGGTTTGAGTGCCAGAGTTGAGGGAAGGTGTGTTCGATTCCCTTAGTCTGCCAACTTGTGAGTTTGGAATATGAAAACGACGTGTGTGGACAGAATGTTCGTTGCAGAGAACACTCGGACTGAAGCCTTCAGAAGTACCGCGCCTGTGGTCCAAGTAGTACTGTACTTAGGGTATATGGTTCGGCTTAGGATATATTTTTTAAATTACAAACAACAAAATACAGCCACGGATTCAGTTTCTTAAAAATAAATAAAATAAAATAAAGCTATCCTCTAAGATCTTCCAAAAAAATGCAACAGAATCACCTGGGGTACTTGTTGAAATGCAGATTTCCAGGCACCACAGTAGAACCTCCTTATCCTTTTTCATGGAACTGGGGAAGTTATTGTTGCACATACTATTTCTATGGAGTGATATTTGCTATAGTGCAGTATGACCTGGTTTTGTTACTTTTGCAGTGCCAGGGATCAAACCCAGGACTCACATGCAAGTAAAGTGCTCAACACCCAAGTTGTCTACCCAGTTCTAATGACCTAGTTTTTACCTGAATCAGTAAGGCCCAATCAAAACACTCTGCCTCAAGATTCAATGGCAAGAAGCTTTCTCTCTTTATGTTCCTCAATATAATTTATGGTTTCAAATCTGATATCAAGGTCTCTAACACATTTTGAATTGACTTGTGGATGGTGTGAGTAAGGGATCTGAGTTCATTTTTTGCATGTGACTAACCATTTTTACCACCACCATTTGTTGAAGAGGCTTTCCTTCCCCCACCTCATATTCTGTTCCTTTGTCAAAGATTAGATGTTTCTGAGGATCTGTTTCTGGATTCTCAATTCTATTCCATTGGTCTGAGAATCTTTCCTTTTTCTAGTACCACACTGTTTGATTACTGTAACTTTATAGTATTCTTTAAAGTTAGGAAAAAAGAACCTTCCTATCTTCTTTGTTCCTAGGGTTTTCTTTAAAAAAAAATAAAACTATGCTCAAGGTTTTGGTACTCCTTATAAAATTCAGCAGCATTTGATCTGTCTTTCAAGACTATTATGAGTATTTTTTTAGGGACTGCATTGCATTTGTATAGTGCTTTGGGCACAATCATCATTTTGAAAATTTTAATTCTTCCAATGAACAGGATGTGTGTTTTCATTTCCTATTTTTTCCTAGTAGTGATTTATACTTTTCTTCATATGTCTGTCACCTCTTATGTTAAGCTGATCCTAAGGTACTTGATTTTTTTTTCTTTTTGGGTCACATCCAGCAATGCACAGGGGTTACTCCTGGCTATGCACTCAGGAATTACCCCAGGCAGTGCTCAGGGAACCATATGGGATGCTGGGAATTGAATCCGGTCAGCCGCATGCAAGGCAAACGCCCTACCCACTGTGCTATTGCTCCAGCCCCAGGTACTTGATTTTCTGAGACACAATCATAAATGGTATTGTTAAATTAAGTTCTCTATCTCTTCTATTTCATTATTGCATATGGAAATGCCATAATTTCTTCTTGTTGACTTTTGTAGGCTCTCATGTTACTTTACAAGTCTATTATTTCTAAGAGATTATTTTAGAGTCTTCAGGGTTTTCTAGACATGTTATCATACCATCTGCAAATAGTGATAGATTAATTTCTGTTTTTAGTTTGGATCCCCTTAATGTTTCTTTCTTGCCTAATTGTTATGGCAAGGACCTCCAATGCTATATTGAATAATATGGTTGAAAGTAGACAACCTTGTCTTATGCCTAATCTTAGAGGGAAAACTTTCATTGGTTTTCCATTGAGTATCATGTTAGCTGTGTAGTCATGGTAAGTGACTTTTAGTATATTGAGACAAGTTCTTTCAGTTCCCAGTTTATTGAGTTTTTTTTATGTATTGGTATTGAATCTTGTCAAATTCTTTCTCTGTATCTCTTGGTATGATAATTTTATATTTATTTTTCCTTGTATTTATATGATGTACTACTTTGAGTGACTTGCATATATTAAACCATTTTTACATGCCTAGGATGAACCCTACTTGATCATGGTAGATGACATCTAAATGTATTATTAAATTCAGTTTGACAATATTTTACTGAGAATCTTTGCATCTATGTTCATCAAGGATAGAGTTCTACAGATTTTTAATGATTTCTGCTATAGTGATTACTGTCTGCTTTTGGTATAGAGGTAATGTTTACCTCAGAAATTTTTCAGGAGATTACTGTTTCTTCAATTTTCTGGAAAAGACTGAGAAGAATGGGAGGTAGCCTTCTTTAAATATTCAGAAAAACATCTTAGTAAACCCATTTGGTCCTGGGATTTTGCTTTTTGGGAGACTTTTAAATTATTGTTTCAATTTCCCTGATATTAATTGACCTTTTTTAGGTGCTCTGTTTACTTGATTCAGTGTTGGAGTATTTAGGAGTTCAGAAGTTATCTGTTCTAGTTAACTTGCCCATTGGCCAAACAGATGGGCACAGAGATAAACAAATGGAATGAAACAGAAGCTCCTGCACCACAAAAGAGATGACTAGAATATAAAGACATCCACAAACTAGGAGAAAGTATTTGCCCACCACTTTTCTGACAAAAAGGTTAATACAAAGATATATGAAGCACTGGTAGAATTTAACAAGAAAAAGGAAATCAAGTTCATAAAAAAAAAAAATGAGGGAAGAGATGAACAGAAACTTTCCCAAAGAAGACATACAGATAAATGGCTAAAAGTTATATGGGGGGGGGGGGGGGAACATCCATATCACTTATCATCAGGAAAATGCAAATCCAAACAATTTGAGATACCATCTTACACCAATGAGACTGGCAGACATCACAAAGAACAAAAACAATGGGTGTTGGTGGTGACAGAAGTGGAGAGAGGAATCCTCATCCTCTATTGGTGGGAATGTCAATGATCCAATCTTTTTGAAAAACAATATGGACACTTATCAGAGTTTCCATATGAACACCCAACAATTCCACTTCTTGGCATCTAACTCAAGGGACAAAATCTTTCCAGAAAATACATTTCTGCTCCTATGTTCATTGCAGCATTATTCACAATAGCCAGTATCTGAAATAACCCAAGAGTTCAAAAACAGATGCCTGGATAAAGAAACTATGGTTTATATACACAATAGAATACTACTCAGCTATAAGAAAAGTTAATTTACATAATCGCTTAATTGACTGTCCCATGATTGGATCTGGAGAGTATCATGCACAAGAAGGTCAGAGGAAAAGGGTCAGTTACAGAATGATTTCTCTCAGATGTGCTATATAAAGAAATATAGTAAGAAAATAACAAATGCCTAGAGGCAACAGAAACTAAGAACTGGCCTTCAGTAAAAAGTTTATCATGACCAGGAGAAGAACACTGGGGCAATTCCAGTGGAGGGTGTGGTGCTGGGATGTTTTATGCATGAAATTCTAACATTAATAGTATTGTAAATTACCGGTCTAAAATTTGGAAAAAGAAAGTTTTAAAAAATGCTCTACGACAGCAGCTGTCTTGCTTGAAAGTTAATTTATTTGCCACAACAGAAATATGGAATCCTGCTGTGTTAGCCTGCAAACTAACTTCTCTCCTATGACACTTTTTAAAATATATTTCACAGCATTTAAAATGGAAAGAAATTTTCTCACTCTGTAAACTTGTAGTTTTATCTATTGGGTAAATTAAGGACAATTTTCACTGAAAGGTAACCAGCAATAATGATACAAAATTTAAACAAAAATAATTCTTTTTATTACAAAGGTAATTTAAAAAATAAGAAAGAGATTCTTGCCTGAGCATAAGAATTTGGGGGAAAAAAACACCCAAGCAGTCATTTATTTTCTGCTTTTCAGTCTGTTTTTTTCTAGAGAATGAATATGTTGGTACCTGATATAAATCCAAAATTAGCTTGAGCAAACATTCCGCTCAACCAGTCTCCAAAATATGCCTAGCAATATATTTAGTTTCATTTGAAAAGTGATCAGAAATAAAACAGTGGCTCCAAAAACTCACACACAGCTCCATTTTGATCAGATACCCCCATAGACTATAATCATTAATTATATTTTTATTACTATAGCACTAAGTAGGTCTGGAGCAATAGCATAGCGGTAGGGCCTTTCACACAGCTGACATGACTGACTCGAGTTTGATTCCTCCTCCCCTCTCAGAGAGCCTGGCAAGCTACTGAGAGTATCTCACCTGCACGGCAAAACCTGGCAAGCTACCCGTGACATATTCGATATGTCAAACACAGTAGCAAGTCTCACAATGTTACTGGACCTGCTCAAGCAAATCGATGAACAACAGGAGGACAGTGACAGTGACAGCACTAAGTAGCTCCTTCAGATTGAGTATAGTCATGATTATTCACAGATAAGCCAAGATCCTAGTCTGTTTATTATATAAGTTTACCAGAACATTTTTATATCTATATATCTGTGTTTTAATAGTTGGTACCCTTTTTGTTTCTATGGTGGTCTATGCCAAATAGACCAAATTGATATGCCAAATCCAGTAAT